TGAAGAAAAGACGCCCTTGCTCGCCCTCTGGTGGCCGTTCGTAAGCTCCGCGGCGCTTGGGGTTTGCTCCGGACGCGAAATTGCGTCCATTTTGGCTCAATTGGCAGAAGCCGCATGCCGCCGGATTAGGTCGCATGGTTGAGCCAATATGCCTGACAATGGAGCAGTGATTGCATACGTGATTTCGCGGCGCTTACTGGTATTGATGCATCGATAGAGAAATTAAAAATATCAGGAATGAAAATCCAGTAAAAAATATCATGCGTTTCTTTTGGGGGGTATTGTAAATTTTAGATTCTTGCTTGTAAGACCTTTCATTTGCAAAAATGCACACACACACGAACATACAAAAAATACAGAAATGTACCGTTGGTGGCTGTGTATGAAATAACCCCATCGTTTTAACATAAAAACAACCACACTGCCTACAGTTTATTGATGCTGCGGTTTCATATATCTGTGTCTTAAATTCATTCAACTTCCCCTTTAAATATAAATAAAGGGGAGGTTGCGTCTGTGTGTTACGTCTGTATTATTTGGTTATATTCCATACATTGTATAAGTGCCCTGTCAAAATTTAGGTTATCCATACCCAAATAGCTGTCTTAATTGCACTGCTTTTGGCTGTTGTTCATCAAACGTGTCTACAGCGTTGCTCTCCAAGTAGTAGCCTATAAGCAACTAAGTAAATGAGCAGATAGGTACATAATCAAGATACCACGTACATTTTCAAATACATATATGGGGGATAAGCAACGGTAGTTCATCGCAATCCACAGAGCAGCCGAATCTGGAGCAGTGCTTACATAAAGGAAACAGCAGGGGTCACCAGTGTCTAGAACATTCTGAAGGCTTCAGCGCCAGAGCCGTCGTCACGCTCAAAGCCGGAAGTCTCAAGTGCTTCTCATTGTGATCCCTAGAACAATTAATACTCTTTAGGAAATAGAAAGTCTGAATTGTGACCACCACCATTTACTGGACTGTTATATCATATGTGTGTTTCTAATAAACTGCCATATGAACTACCATCTAAGACTGGACTGTCTATTATTATTATTTAGTTTTATTGTTTTGATAATTGAGAATATTTTTACTAGAATAGCCCCCCAATGTAATGTTTGTTCTGTAACAGTAGTTATTATATTCTTATATAGCAATTATATAAATTGTAAGCCTAATTATAATTGTATAGTTATTTTCTCAAGTAGCCTACCCATCAAACCATAAACTGTAATTTTATGTAAATTACCCTTCAAATTAAATAGAACCGTACGATACGTAAGAGGTGACGCTTGCGTTCATGTAAATGAAGCCGTACAGTGCGTGAAGCTAAACTGGGAAACGATTTGTTATAGACACAGGAAAAATATTAATTATGTTGGACCTACAATAAATTAAAAATATATTTATTTAAAAATGAAATGATGTAAAACAAAATCGCCGTGTCCTTCTATGAAAATACCGACTTGGTGTAATTTAGAATAAGCCTAATTAGTTTGTCCCTATTACCGCAAATAAAGTATCATAGTAGGCCTAAATAACTGTACAAAAGGACTAGTGCTTTTAATCAACTGTCATGATCACCGTATTTAAAATTGTCGCAGCCACTGGAACATGAATTTTATGCAATTTTCCGTGGATTTCCAAAACATATAAGGCTTTTTACTTTGGTTATTAAAAAATGTAAAAATAATATTATACGTTTGAAGAAATATATAATGAATATATTTAATGTTTTGTAATAAAGTCAGAGTAGTCTTTAAATATTGCGCACAAGTAGGCCAAATCATGTTCCGTTAACTTTTTAATTGTGTTTTTTTATTTATAGAATAATACAGAGTATTACAGTTTTTCTTTAATTTAGCCTATATTTATACCAAACACCAAAGCACTATTTTTATCAGACGTGTGCGGTAATCTGCAAACATGCACACGGGTGTGTTAGTGTGTGCACTACGCGCATACAAAGCCTGCCATTTCTGCGTCTCACTGACCTTTTTCTTATTCGTCTTTTCGACCAGACAGAACCGTTCCCCTTATTATGTGTGTGTGCGTGTGCGCGTGTGTGTCTGTATGCTTTGTGAAGGTGCGAGTGAAACGGTCGCTAATTATTTTGTGTGTGCTGTGCGTGTGTGTGTATGCGTGCGTGCATGTGTGTTTGTCTGTGTGTCTCTGCGTGTGGAGGTAAGTGAAGGCTATTGATTATTGTAATCCTCCTATTTGTGAGTCTGTGATCCTCTCGGCCCACCGGCCGACGGAGGAATCGCTAATGGGCCCCAGCGATCCTGCCTCAGACTTCTCCCGGTCCAATTAACTTTCAACCAGAATGTGCTGAGAGAGCGGGGGTGCTCCCATTGGAAAAACATTCAACAAAGCCTAACAGCCCAGATTGCCATTAGCTGCTCCTTTTACTTATAGGGTTTCCTCTTTTTGTTACGAGTGGACATATCGCATCACGTAGCGTACACCACGCACAGTTCAGGCTGAGACAGGGATAGTAAGTACTCACACAGGTGCTGCGGCCTTACGGACGCAATACTCGGTGTTCCTGGTAGCATTGGCCGGCTCAATAATTTAACGTTTTTATTATCAGTGCTGAGTTCTCACCAAATGCAATGCATATTTTGCAATAATTTATTTCCTTGAAGAAATTTGTGGACACATTTTAGTACAGACTATATATGATATGATGATATGTATGATGCCTTTCCCCCTGCACATCCGTGCATTTCATTTACGCGCGAGACCCTGAGTAATGAGCACTACCGTGGATTTAGTCTGTGGGTTAAGATGCACCAGTTTTACTATTTTATTTAAGTTGTCTTCTGTTTAAATACCGCGTTGATGGTTTTATTGAATAGGATAACCATTAATATGTGGGAAATGACAACTTGGTAGTACGGAAGAGAAGGATCATGTAATTCAAAAAGGAAAATAGATTGTTCGCAATTATTATAAGACGAGCCTGAGTTATATGATCGTTATTTAAAATAAATAAATAAAAACGGACCGGGAGAAGGGCTTAATACATGCTGCTCTTGGCTTTTAGATTAAACACAGTTCAGCTTTATAATAAAAATCACAGATCAATACTAAAAACATAGCTGGTATTAATGTAGGAATACTGGGCAGGCCTAAATGAAATGCGACATCAAAGTGACCATGAATATCGTTACGCTGTCGGTTTAGTTCGATTTGGAAAGGCTGATAAACCCACTACTGTAAAGATTATTTATACTGATGTACTGTAATTATGTGAGAGATGGTTGTGAACAAGAAATGTATAGGCTTCTTAAAAAATAGAAAATAATGATATATAACTAAAATTCTCTGTACGTTTATTTACTGTAATCGTAACTTGAGATAACTAATTTGCGATGTTATTTAGTTGACTGTGGTAATTTTAGATATGTAATGCAAACGTCTGTATTCATAGAATAGCGTTATGCTTGTAACGCCACATTAAAACTCTTCTTGAGAAAATGATATACGCAATTTATAGCATGCTAATATTAACGTTAGTCAGAAGAGTGGACCTGCTGCTAATTCAATTAAAGATGGTTTAATTCTCCTTGACTTGCTGCATTAAGTTCTGTTCAATACAAGCCCTTGGACCAGTGGAGTTTGATCAGGATTTCAGCCAGGATCTCAGCACGGAGTCCTGAGTGGTCTGAACTGTGCTAATGAACTTCTGACATGTTGGTGTTACCCTGGCCGTGGTCCACACCGGCAGCAATGCGAACAGCTTGTAATGCGATTCGTCACGCCGGCCCAGGGAGGCGACAAAAATGGTGAAGCTGAAATATTTCAAAACGTCCATCAAAAGGTCCGCATTTCCGAAATGAAACTTTTGATATAATAATTCCATGCTCTATTACAGATTTTGTCCAAATATATTCCTACAATAATATTAGTGAAATAGTTGATATTATTTAATGTCGTGTTATTAGCCTTGTTGAAACTACTAATGCCACTTAATATTAATTCAGTATTTCTCATACAAGGATCGACTAATTTTTAAATACTCTTCTGCCCATTTTGCCAGCCGAACTGGGATGAATGGGCATTAACAGTTAATGCCAATACATGTAAAGGAAAGGGGAACGTTTTATACTAGTTTCAAATTGAACTACATATATTAGACTGTGACTGTAAATTTCCCAGGGCATATAGGTTTTTAGGGCTTTTTTTAAAGCATAATCTCATGCATACTGATTATTTTCAAGGCCTTTTATGAATTTTGATCATAATTTATAACATCTTAAAATACATTGGTAAGAAAATAAATAAATAAATAAAAAGATAATAATTAATTTGTTTGTAGTGGGCATGGATGTATTACATAAAATACCTAAACAGAAAAGATGAATTTTGCCTCACAAAAATGGTTTACATCAATAATATGATTCCTGTGAAACCTTATTAAAATATTCTGCAGCTAAGAGTCACTGGGCATCTTTTGGTTTGAAGCATTTCAGTAATGATATACATATACTAGAGGCCATTATTTAAATAACAACACACTCTCTTCCTGGAAATTTTCTATATTCTACATGTATTTCCACATGTTGTTTAAATCCCTGCTGTCAGATTCCTGGTTTCCTGAAATGTTGGAGAACTAACAAGAGGCGAATCTTTTTAATTGTGGCCAGTGGTCCAATGTGTCGACAGATGTATTGGAAATCCAAGTAGAGCGAAGGCTGCGAAAGGCCAAAGGTCCGTGTTTCAGGGCCACTTTGTCGGGCTCAGACGGACAGTGAAGCATTTCAATTAAAATCAGCCTAATTACACTGACACCAGCCTCCATTGTGTTTGTGTTTATTAGCTCATAATGTAATTCATTAACCTCTGGAATCTTTACCCCTGTGACTTTCACAATTAACACCCACTATTTTATCTTCTCCAGTGATAAAGACCAGTGTTAACAACTGTATCACACTGTAATGTTGCTTTAATATATTTCATAAAATAACCCTCAGGTCAACTCAAAAATGCACATTGGACATTCAGCTGAACAGTTAAAGCACTCCAGAGCGGTTTTTACAACATACAGTATTTGAATGATCTGGACACACATTTTTATGTACATATGTGTATAACAAAGCGAGGGTTACACACCATAAACATATCAGAAACAACACAAACAGATGCTTGCAGCAGTAATATATATTCCACTACGGAAGTTTCCGGTAACTCTATTTGCTTAGGGTCATGAGGTGCATGGCCTGACAGATATCTAACAGTTCATTCCTATGAACAGAAGGTCAGAGCTTCTTCTTTGAGCATTTGCTTATCTAGAACAATCCACAACATAACTGCTTTTCTCTCTTTTTTTCCCCCCGACTTGACTCTCTATGGCGCCATCTGCCTTTTGAGTCCCCAGGTAGACAGTCTGCATGATGGGGGTGGGGGCTGTGGGTGGGTCAATCTGCATATATGAGAAATCCAGAGAAGGTGCTATATTTGTTGGTGTTGCCCCCGTGGACTTTGCCCCCGTCCAGCTGAACAAACACCTCATCCCCCACGTCCAAATGCAGGATGACGCTGTTGGAAGCGTAGTCATAGTTCTGATCTGCATCCTGAGCGATGGCACTGGCCCTTACCTGAAACAGACACGACAGTCATGGGCTTACTGGTGAGCACTGGTACCTGCGAGGAGGGCACATAACTCACAGCACGGTTATAAAGAAGTGAAACAAGCCATGTAAGGCATTTTGCATCGAATCCCTTTGTACTTTCTCTTCTTTAAAGAACTTAGTTTGAAAAAAGTTGCAAAAGATTTTTTTTCCCTCACTGATAGCAGACTGAACTCTTGATGTAGTAAATTCAAAATGTAAGCCTAGGACACTTAATGAGGTTGATTACTCAATTAAGGGTGACGAGTGTGGACGGTTAGGGACTGCTCTCTGCCTGTTTTGCTTCCTGCCTTAACACCTTCTAATATGCATTTTTTTTATTGTATCTATATCTAGGCATGAGGCTGCTTCCTTAATTGTACCCATGTTGTACACTGTCCCTGGCTGGACTCGCATAATGGGCATTTAAATGCCAATTGCTATGTTGGGTGGAAAGACATGTAACAGCACAAAGATTTATGGCTTAACTGAGTGATATTTCCTTACTTTTACAAGGAAAAATACAGGATAGTCGTAATTGCCTCTACAGTTTCAGCAGACAGCGTTTAGATCATGCAGCAGAATTGTTTCCAAAGGCTGTCAATGTCTCCATTGTGAGAAGACTGTAAATCATACTGCAGACTTGGACAGATATTTATTATCCTACATCCCATAAAACACAGCTCTATAACCACATTTCTAGTCATCACTGAGATGGCGGTAAGGCAAACAGCTTTTCAAATAATAGACAAAAACAACAGACAATTATGCTGTAACACCAGACAGTAATGTTCTAGGTGTTCCGAACTTGCGTTCTTAAACTTGTCTGCTTTGGCTTTGCATGAAAGTGTAGGTTTTCAATATCCGTGTGACCTCCTTCTCCCCCCAAAAATAGATTAATTACAGCACAAAACTGGAACAGTGATTCAGCAAGTAAAGTCATCCTTAAACAATATTCCATTTGTCGTTGTATTTCAGATATCACTATAAATAGGAATGGTTCCCCTAAAACAATACAAATTAGACTCAAACCCTTAAATTGTTCCCTTTTCCTCTGAATGCATGATTGGATTTTTGAAAACCCTTGGACTTAAAAGGCAAGTCTCTCGGTTACTTTGTTCCGTTAAAGAGCACACGTCGACTTTCAGAAAAACCCTGTCCACACAGGCTGGGGGCTGGGGGCTGGGGGGGGGTGGTCTCAGCAAAGATACATTTCTCTGTGCATCTATAGCAGCAGGATTCACCGGAGCAGCGGCTAAAGCATCTTTATAGTAAATTCAGCTTCCTCCTGCTGGCAGCTGCTTGACCTGTTTACTCAGTAAAGTCGTCTGATATGGCAGTTTATTTATCATCACGAGATTAATAAAGATTTTATATTTTAATCATTTTTCCAGCGGGAAACGCCTTGGTCTTTTGCTGCCATTTAATGAGTTTCCCATTTAACAGAGAGCATATCTTAAAATGCCTCGCAGAGCTCGGTAAACGTTAAGCCCCCCCCCAGTGTCCTCCCCCCCGGGTCAGACTGTAATGTCACTGGTATTGAGGGCTGTCTGTCTGACACCCCCGCACCATGTAAATGAATGAGCTGAGACCGTGCTCCGTCACCCCGGCCCCAAGTGGGTCTCATCCCCCATATCGATTACTGCCATGTCTGCCACTGGGTGTGGATCCAGGATGAGGAGGGGGGGTGTAGGCAGGTTTGGGGAGGGGGCGGGGGGCTCTGCTAAGAGAATAGGAGCGTTGAAAGGAGCATGTGGCAGGGCATGCATGGTGTATTAGAGTAATTGGGAGGTTAAAGTAACCGAGTGCAAGACACAGGGCAAGGGATGGTGCACTGGAGTAATGGGGGGGGGGGGATTAGAGTAATGGAAAGGGGGCGGTGCACTGGAGTATTGGGGTGAATTAGAGTAATGCATGGGGGGTGGTGCACTGGAATAATGAGGGAGTGAATTACATTACTTGAAAGGGTGTGATGCACTGGAGTAAGGGGGGTGAATTAGAGTAATTGAAAGGAGGTGGTGCACCCTTTTTAAAGTGGGTGAATTGGAGTAATGGAAGGGGGTGGTTTATTGTAGTAATGAGGGGGTGAATTAGAGTAATGGAACCCTTGTGCACTGGAGTAATGTGGGTGAATTAGGGTAATGGATGCGTGGTGGTGCACTGGCGTAATGGGAGGGGGTGGACTCGAGTAATGGAAAAGGGGGAGGTGCACCGGAGTAATGGGGGTGAATTAGAGAAATCAAATGAGGGTGTGCACTGGAGTTATGGAAGTGAAATAGAGTAATGGAAAAGGGGTGATGCACTGGAGTAATGAGGGGGTGAATTAGAGTAATGGACTGGGGTGGTGCACTGGAGTAATGGGATGAATCTGAGTAATGGATGGGGGTGGTGTACTGTAGTATTGGGGGAGGGGTGAATTCGAGTAATAGAAAGGGTGGGTGCATTAGAGTAAAGGTAACCCAGAATGCACTTGTTGCATTTAGCCCAGGAAGCCACGAATTTACATAATATTGACTGGCTCCGTGTGAGTAAATATGCAGTAGCATGCTGTGAGATGTGCATATCGACCCACACAAGGACATTGCTATATGTTTGTGCTTTCTTTCAGTTAACAGCAATCCCATACAAACAAATATCCTACACAAATGACATGCTGCTGTATTTCCCATCATGCACTGTTCATTAACACATTCAAGGCCTTATCCACTCACATCCTGAAACCTTATACTAACTTATAAAATCGCCTTTAGTACATGCTGCTAACAGGTGGCCACATTCACTAAAAATAATTATAATAAATCAATATAAAAATACTTTGTATACATATACACTACAAAAAATATATTTTTATGACAAAATTTGAAAATTGAAATTGTTTTGCCATTAATTACAAATCATCAGTGCTTAATTACAAGCTTGCAGGCATCTAAGGCAGTACATGCATGACCTTCACCATCACCAAAAGTGAAAAGTTATATTTTTATCACATTCACCACATCGGATTTTGTCCCATTTTCTTTCCTTGTTCCCAATTTAGTCATTCCTGTTTTTTTTTTTCCCCTGAACCTGCTGTCCACAATTCCCTGGGCCCCAAACGGTTCACACATCTTTCACTACGGTCACCCAGTGACTCACTCATGTGTGACCGGCTGCACAGGAGTCGAGCGGTCAGCCAAGCGAGCGGTCAACAGTCCGCGGTCACAGACAGCAGTCAACCCAAGCTCAAAGTCATGCTCCAGTCTGTGCTGCGGGAACCTGACCATGCTTTGGGTGGATGTTTTTATTGGGGAGGCCTTCCTGAAGTCCCCAGGTGAACGGCCTACTCGGAAACATGAGCACAATACAACCTCACTGGCTCCTGAACACTGGGCTCCTACAATTCAGGAAAATCATCATTGAGACTCATTTATGAAATTCAGTTTTGTGGTGAAGAATTGTATTTTTCTTCAGCAACTTTAAAGAATCTACTTAAAATGTCTTTAATCCTGAATTTCAGCTATAAAAGATTAAATTTAGCCCAAAGCTAATGTTGTGTTTAACGTGAGACAGGCATGACTACACGCCAGGCAGAGACCCACACGAGCAACAGACACTTAAAAGAACTTTGCGGCCGTTTTCTATATTTTCTCTATCGTTCGTTCTTGCAGCCATTTGTCCTTCATTCTCACTTCCAATTTCAGCAAGCATTTCTACTTTGGTTGTTCTGTCTGGAGACGGATGATTCATTAAATTAATGTTTATGTTCAATACCCATTTCCGGCCGTTCTGTCCTCCAGTTTGTTACAACAGTTTGTCCTCCATTCTTTTTATTTTATTTTAATCCATTTCCAGTCAATGCATTTGCCTTAAACGGTCTACCAACCATTACAGTGTTCAGTATATTACTCTTCACCTTCCTTGTGCGCTTCCTGTATTAATCTGTGCAAATATTTGTCAGCCAATAACACAAACCCCCTCCACAACTCATACATCTGTGGTCATGGACCCGTACATCCATCTTTGCTGAATTAGATGCAGGTCACGGCTGTGCATCGTCCGCGAGCCGTATCGGCAGGCCACGGCTACATGTGTCCCCGCCTGGCCTAAATCGGATTGATTAACAGCGTGAGCCCCCCCATCCCGCGGGATGCTCCCACCCCTGCTCTTGCTACAACAACGAACAGCCGCGATAATTGCTAACCTGCATCGCCGGCGGGTCCGCCTAACAGCTCCCCCGTCTCAGTAACCTCACTGCCCGCAAAGAAATAGGGGCGACAAAATTCCGCAAATGAATAACACGAGGAAATGGAGGCACGGAGGAGATACTGCTGCACGTGAGACACTAGGTGTGGGACTCAATGTGTTTCCTACTCGGTGTGAAGTTATACTCTTCTTTGTTTATGAATCCGTTGCCAAACAGGTCACATTCTATTAATTCAATGCTACCAGAATAGTCGTTCCATAGGCACAGGCAGCACATGACATGAGGCAGTAACATGCATTTAATAGAGGCATCTTTTACACTGTCATTCAGTGTTACTGCAAATAACAAGAACAAAGAATGCATGTGTGTCAGCAGTGTTGTAATTCAGCTGTTAGCGCGGGTTTCTAACGCCGTCACGTTTACTCAGCTTTTAATCCGGAGTCACTCTGATATGCTCGCTCCACTTCTGACGTTTATGAAATGAAAACAATCCAAAGCTGTCGACATGCGTTTGCGCTGACGGTCGCTGTCGGGGCCTTTATTCCCCACGCGGATTCCGGGCTTTTTGTCGGCGAGACGGTAAAGCCGCGTCTACAATGGTCCCCAGACGAATTCGACCTCCTTTAAGTTTTCTGGTTTATGCCAGTGAAAGTGAGTCTCTGGGATTATGGTCAACGGTGAAGGAGATTGATGTGGACGCAGGCGTGAGTCTCAAGCAAAACGCCACATCGACTTGATCTCCTGCTGGGGGTGAAGGTGGGGGTGGGCCCAAGGGAATGTTGGCAGGCTTGTTCTGCTTTTCATT